ACAATAAAATTGAAAAAAAATCTGATAAAATTCAGTGAGACACTTATTGCATTTAGCCCTTTATGGGATGACTTCCTCATTCTGTCTCAATGTAGTTCCACAAACAACATTTAATACTAGCTTAATTTATTTTTAAGGCATTTTTTAAAAATTTATTTCTTGGAGTGGAGGACAGGGGCAGAGAGAGAGGGAAGAAAGAGAATTCCAAGCAAGCTCTGCACTATCAGTGCATGGGGCTCTAATTCATGAATCGCAAGATCATGACCTGAGCTGAAGTCACTTAGCCGACTGAGCCACCCAGGCACCCAAAAACTAGCTTCTTTTTAAAAATTTAAAATATGGGCACCTGGGTGGCTCAGTTAGTTAAGCGTCTGACTTTGGCTCCGGTCATGATCTCATGGCTCGTGAGTTCAAGCCCTGCATCGGGCTCTGTGCTGACAGCTCAGAGCCTGGAGCCTGCTTCAGATTCTGAGTCTCCCTCTCTCTCTGCCCCTCCCCCACTTGCACTCTGTCTCTCTGTGTCTCAAAAATAAATATTAAAGAAAAAATTTTATTAAAAATAAAAAAATGAGTAAGTAAAACAAGTTTATTTTCAGAGAAACATTCCTGTCCCTATCAGTTCAATAAATCTCTTAAGCTTAAACTTTTGGATAATACTAAGTAAAAACACTGCCTAAAGATTTCCCTAAGAGAACCCAGCATGGACCTATAAAGAATGGACAGTGATCCCTGCCAAAGAACCCTGAACTTGGCAAATTTTTATTGTATTACAATCACCAAATAGGCTAGAAGAGCAAATAGACTAGCTCCAGCTAGTCACACAAGTTACCAGATACATGCTTTGCATCAGTAACTACTGAATTGGGAGCTGGGAGCACAAATAGGAGTTCTAGCCTAAGGAGTAAGGGCTCACAGGCCCAGCCCCTACCCCTGGGAGTAACAGAGAAGCAAACTCTGAGCCCCGAGATCCTTCAGCTTTGACCTCCCCAAGAACTGAACTCCAGATTTGTCATGTGAGAAAGCAAAACTAAGATCAACTAGGTAGGCAGCTTGCTGATGGGTATTCTAGCTGCATTCAGAGCTAAGACTGACATAACAGTGATGTGCTAAGCAGAAGCCCAGCAGCCTTTCCATTATTCATCTCACAGACAGACACCCCATCTCCAGTGCCCCTGCCCCCAGTCCTAGTATTAGTTGCAGCCAGATAGGCCAGAGTATGAGACCACAAAACACTCCCACGTCATCCAAATGCCTAAAGTCCAAGCAGTAGCCAGGAGAATATGTAGCCCACCTTGGGTGGTGCTGAAGAGTCCTACAGGCCACCTAGCTCCACAGGGAGGCAAATGGAAGCAATCCAAGTCTCCCTGCAGAGGAAGCACCTGTTACCCCAGCCTCCTCTGTCCCCAGAATGTAACTATGCCTGTGTACATATGTGGGTGAATCTAAAGGAACCCTGGTCCCCTGAGCATCCCTTGCAGACTCATCATACGTGCCCATAGGCCAAGGGAAATGTCAGCATGACTTGGTTCCCTATCTATACTAGTTGTTTAGTTTTCCTTCCCAGCAATGTGCCTGTACCATCACCCTCCATGTTCCTGGAGCACTTTGTCACACAACACACAAAGTGTAATTGCATGTGAAAACATCTTCCCCAACCATGCTGGCTGTGAACCCCTGGAGGATAGGGGCTGTGAGTACTTGTATGTAATAGATTATTAGCAAAATGAAAAAAATGGCTGTATCTGATATTCTTCCATTCATTTCATCCAAGAAATGCCTATTGAGAATTTGCTCTGTATAAAGGGCAAACAACACAATTAACAGCTAAATACTTGTGTATGGCTAAGATATCAATGGTAATAGAGGAGGAAGAGGCGGGCCTGGCTGGCTCAGTTGGTAGGGTCCTCAATTCAAGCCCCACGTTGAGTGTGGAACCTACTTTAAAAAAAAAAAAAAAAAAGAATTAGAGGAGGAAGAGAGGACACTGGCCACACCTGGGCTCAGGGTGCCATACCCTCCATGCCCAATCAGGGCTGGTCACCAATAGTGGCACAACCAGAATGGAATCCATCCAATAGCATGAGTCTTCAATGTAGGAAAGGTGATTCCTAGTTCCTCTCTGAGATTCCTTCAGGTCTTTGCCTCTGTCACCTTCCCCAGTAATATAGTCCTTCTATAACAGAGGTTATAATGTCACTGATAAGGTATTTAATTCTTCTAAAATGTATTTGTAGAATCTTTTATTGTTTCACAGTCCTCTGGGCAGGTTAAATAAACACAGACAAGAAGGAAACAAAAATATTTCTCCCAGGGCACGTGGGTGGCTCAGTGGGTTAAGTGTCCGACTTTGGCTCAGGTCATTATCTCACAGTTTGTTAGTTGGAGCCCCACATCGGGCTCTGTGCTGACAGCTCAGCCTGGAGTCTGCTTCAGATTCTGTCTCCCTCTCTCTCTCTGCCCCTCTCCTGCTTGTGCTCTGTCTCTCAAAAATAAGTAAACGGTAGGGGCGCCTGGGTGGCTCAGTCGGTTAAGCGTCCGACTTCAGCCCGGGTCACGATCTCGCAGTCCGTTAGTTCGAGCCCCGCGTCGGGCTCTGGGCTGATGGCTCAGAGCCTGGAGCCTGTTTCCGATTCTGTGTCTCCCTCTCTCTCTGCCCCTCCCCCGTTCATGCTCTGTCTCTCTCTGTCTCAAAAATAAATAAACGTTAAAAAAAATTAAAAAAAAATAAGTAAATGGTAAATATCTACATATACTAACTTAGACAACACACACACACACACGTGTGTGTGTGTGTGTGTGTATACATATACTAAGTTGAACAACACATATACATATATATATGTTTGTATTTCTCCCCGAAGAGAGCTGTAACCAAAAGCTGCCCAATATATTTGTGAATACTGCCACACGTCTCTGTCATTGCTGGCCAAGTGTGGACCAAGTCTAAGCTGGGAGGGCCAACTGCAGTGAGGTGTAGAGCAAGCCATACTGCCAGCCAAGGCAAGAACTTTTTGATTTGGAATCAGATAAAGCTTGAAGTTCGCACACTCAGACATTACAAACTCTCAGTTGGATCATCACAGTCCAATATAAGCCTGTTTGTTCCCTCTAGCTGACTTCCTGCTTGCCTTCCTAGTCTTGTAGTCCAAGCTTCCATGGCAATGGGTGGGTTCTTCAGTTCTGGGATTTGGTTATGAGGCCAAGTGAGTGCCCTACTAGGGCACTCTCTCCCTAGGGTAAGAGACCCAACAGAGAACACGGCCCTGGTGCCTGGGTGTCTCCTGAGCTGAATCATGCACTTCCTACCAAATCCACAGGTCACCCACAACAGCAGGAGCACATGGGCAGATGTTGATAGTTTCCAGTTCACAATTTTTAACATTTTAATTAAAGAAAAAAATGTTTTAATTTTTTAAATGTTTATTTTTTTTTTAATTTTTTTTTTTAATTTTTTTTTCAACGTTTATTTATTTTTGGGACAGAGAGAGACAGAGCATGAACGGGGGAGGGGCAGAGAGAGAGGGAGACACAGAATCGGAAACAGGCTCCAGGCTCTGAGCCATCAGCCCAGAGCCTGACGCGGGGCTCGAACTCACGGACCGTGAGATCGTGACCTGGCTGAAGTCGGACGCTTAACCGACTGCGCCACCCAGGCGCCCCAAATGTTTATTTATTTTTGAGAGAGAGGCAGAAAGAGAGGGAGACATAGAATCCAAAGCAGACTCCAGGCTCCAAGCTGTCAGCTACGGAGCCCGATGTAGGGCTTGAACCCCCCAACCATGAGATCATGACCTGAGCTGAAGTTGGATGCTTAACCGACTGAACCACCCAGGTGCCCCTTCAATCTTTAACATTTTAATCAAACTCACTAAAAACATTTAATAACTTTGGAGATAATGATTTTCTGACTGTGAAGTTTCACTTTATTCCTTGCATTTTAACTATTAGCATTTTATAATCTTAGTATAAGGAACCATCCATAGTGTGTGGTTTTTACAGCCATTTAATAGCACTGAAGAGATCCTGCCTTAAAAAGGTTTTCCAAAGTTTTCATATTTATAATTAGGTTTTGTCCCCTTTTCTAGTGGTGCTGAGGACTTATCCTACTTCCTTAAGACTCTGACCCAGACCATAAATGGTACAGGAGAAACTGCTAAAAAAAGAAGAGAGAAGCAGACACCCTCTAGTGTAGGTTCTGATAACCCAACTTTCTTTTTCCATAAATAACAGTTGTTCCAAAAACAACATTTTTAACAATTTCAAAGAACTTTCACAGGAGGGCACTCAAGGTTGTCAGGGTTGACTCCCAGATGTAGAATTATCATGTCGTGGTAACTCTTATCTGCAGGGGATTAACTGCTATGTGGTTATTCAAGGCGGTTTTAATTCCAAATTTACTTTCCCCTCCTATCTACCCAACTGCCAAGAGGCCTGTGTTACCAGATGATACGTGAAAGCTGTCCCAGCTAGTGCAAATTGAATCCATGCTAATTTCAATTAGCCAAAACCCAACATAAAAATACTATATCTGTTCAAATGACTTACCACACCTTCACCAAGCCTGTGCTCCCTCCTCCATCCCCAACACTAAACATGGCTCATCTGTTTCTCCTCTCCTCCCTCATTGCCATCTCTACAGTGAAAGGTTCTTAACAGTTCTCTGGGCTGCTATTTCGTCTCTGCTCTGAAACCTTTTATAATATCTGTGGGCCATTTAAGGCAGAGCATGTGGCCCTTCTGGCCTCTGTTTTAGCTTTAGATTGAAGGTTCTTTCCAGCTTAATTGGTCTAATCCTCACTCTTTGATACTGCCCTGCGTGTTCCAGAAATTGACTCCTGTAGTTTCACTTCCTGTAACATGCACCATCATTTCTATGCTTAAGACCACATTCAAATGTTACACAAGCCAAAGGCTGCCTTTCACAGCTCAGGGTTCTACAGTCTTTGGTTCATAGCCCCCCCCCCCCCCCTTTTTTATTCATACTCCTTAATGGCACTTACCACACACAGTGTGACGCTGGGTCTGTGTAAGATCTGTTCTCCAGTAGATTGTTTGAAGTCAGGCACTGTGTCTTATTTTGGAGGACAGAACTGCTCGACACCAGCTGCCTGGCTTCCTCGCGGGCTTACTTCCCACTCTATGAGGAGGGCTGTACTTTTTGTACGCAGGGTCGAGTGGAAAACATAGTGTTCAGGACAATGCTTCTTGTTGCACCAAAAAACTAAAAAACAGCTTGGGCACCTAATGTGGAGAACACATCTGGACCTCTGCTTCCCCCAGTTGCTATCGCCCCTCAGCGGCTGCTTGTCTCCCTGACTAGCTCAGTGAGGAGGGCTTGGGGAATTCTGTTGTGGGCCATGATTCTGGCATCTAGATTGTTTTGAGATGAGTGTTCATGACTACACCACACCTTTGAGTCCTGGTCCCAAGGCGCTGGTGCACCCGGCACTCCCCAAATCCCTTTTGGGTCTCCAGGGCAGGGACCCCGATCCCAAGTCTGGGCGGCTAAGGACTGGCCTAAGGTCTCCAGCGGAAAGCAAGAAAAGCTAGGAGCAGGCTAACAGCGCAGGCCCTGGTGGTGTGCCCGGGGTGGGGGAGGGAGTGTCTTCCGTCAGTCAGCTAGAGATGGCCGGGCAAGACAGAGAAAGGGGTGCGGAACAGGCATCCCGCGGAGCTGCCCGCAGGGCGGGAGAAAAGCGCAGCTAGCTTCGCTCCGCCCGCCTCCTCTTCCGGCCTCCTCCTGGCTCTGCCGCGCTTCAGTGGGAGTGGAGCTGCGCGTGAGAGGCGGGCCGGAGAGGCGGGCCGAAGAGGCAAAGGCCAGCGGGGTAGTCGAGGCCGCGGCCCGAGGTGGGGTTAGGCCGCGCGCGCGCGTGTGCGTGCGTGCGTGCATGCGTGCGTGGGCGCGGTCCACAGCACGCCGTGCGCGAGGCGGATGTCCGGGCCGGCTGGGCCGGGGCCGCGGACGAGATGGCGGAAGGTGGAGGCTGCCGTGAGCGACCGGATGCGGAGACCCAGAAATCGGAGCTCGGGGCCTTGATGAGGACCACGCTCCAACGAGGGGCGCAGTGGTGAGCGCCAGGCCCGCCGTGCCGCCCTCAAAGCCAGGGGCAGGGGCTCTGGCCCTAAGGCCGACCCCTCTTTCCCGGCTTGGGTAGGGGCCGGGCGGGGGCGATGTTAGTGACCCTTGCAGGGTGTCCTGAGCCCTGTCCCTCAGGAGAGGAAAGTAGGATCACCTCTGGGAAAGAGTGAAGGTCGTCCCGGCCCATTCAGAGCCCCAGAGAGTGGACCCGGTGGGGGAGAGGGCTGCAGGATGCGGGGAAGGGGGGGGTGCTCACGGGGACCTTCAGGATGTGAAGAGCCCTTTACCTTCGAGGAATTGCAGTGTGACCTTGAGCGAAGGCGACCACACCTCCCAGACCCTGGTTCCTTACTGTTAAAGCCAGGGTAACCAGTATTTGGCACCCCCGCCCTTTGGGTTGAGAAGAAGATCAGAAGTAGATACTTTTGTAACTTGTAAACTGCCGTGCGGGTGCCAAGGTTAGAAGCTGAACAAATGTTTGAGAGCTCCAGGTTACTTTGGTAGTAAATGTCAAAAATAATTGTGGCGGCAGCATTTCGGAGTGGGAGAGGAGGATAGATTAGAGCCTAGATAAAAAGATTAAAAGTTCAGGGTTTGGAAGAGCAAGTCTGAGACCAGAGGTTTCTTAAATTGTTTAGTAGAAGAGAAGATACTTCGACTAGTTAGATTTCTTGGTAGTCTTATCGTGTGAGAGTAGAAAGCTAGGGCTTGGCTTTGCATTGAACTTGATTGAACGAACATCCGTCTTTAAGAAACTGTGGCTGTGTTGATAATGCCGTTTACAGTAACAGGGGAATTGAGCAGGGAAGGGAAACATTGGGATTAGGAGGAGTTCAGATAGGGCTTTACAGTGTTCTTCAGCTGGCCAAGCTGTGAAATGCAGGGCAAGCAGAGGAAATTATCCTGCATAGGGGTGATATATGAAGGACACTCAGCAGAACCAGAGGAAATTTGAGATAGACTAAGAACACGCACTAAAAGTGTTTGGAGGGTGCTGTTCAAGGGGTTTGGAGGGAAAAGAGCATTGTAGAGATTTGGATATATTTATGGATCTTTGTGGCCTCTGGGAAGCTGCCTGATCTCTGAAGTTTGTTGGCTATAAAACTTAAAGGACTCACCAATATAATTGTGCTCCCCCCCCCCCGAGATTTCCCCCTCCTTCTTAGTTGTAAAACAGCATAGTGATACTTTTTTTTTTTTTAAGCTTATTTATTTTGAGAGAGAGGGAAAGAGAATATGAGCAGGGGAGAGGCAGAGAGAGAGGGAGAAAGAGGATCGATCCCAAGCAGGCTCCACAGTGTCAACACATAGCTGGACTTGGGGCTTGAACTCATGAACCGTGAGATCATGATAGCCTAAACCAAGAGTCAGATGCTTAACTGACAGCCACCCACACACCCCAACAGCATAGTGATACTTTTTAAATATAACCAGAGCAACTTAATAACTAGACACTAGAAACTATTATATGTCACACCTAGACACTGTTGTATATGTATACACACTCGCTTGTTTTAAACACATAACTTTTATAAAAAAGTTATGAATTGATTTTTTTATTACAAAGTGCCATATTTACAGTTTTAAAATAAAGCCTTTTTCTTAGAAATGTTACAAACATTAATATGGTTTTACAAACTACAACAGTGTGGGGGAATGAATTAGCCTGGTTGCTTGACTTCAAATGAAGTTTTTTTGAATCTTAAAAAGGCCTGAGTCTGGGAAAAAATGTATATGCCTATATTTGATAAGAGATTAGTATCCCTTTGTCAGATTACAAAACAGAAGGCAGATTTTTACTGGTTGGGATATTTTTCTTTTTATGTTTTAGTCTTAATCAAATATTTATCAAGTGCCTTCTATATGCAGGGAGCTAACTCTCTGTGCCTAGATGTCTATAGATACGAAACACATGCATTTTTTAAATATTTTCTTTGGTACTCACAGGAAATCTGAAGTGTGTGGTGTTATTATCGCATTTTCAGAAAGAAAATTAACTTAATGCTCTACATGTCAAACAGTGTAACCAAACTGTCTTGGACAAGGACCTCTATAAAGATCATTATGAAATTAATGACTTGCTTATTAGCAAACAAGATTTTACTCATAGGAGGACATCATTTATTTATTTATTTATTTATTTATTTATTTATTAAATGAGTAGTAGATATTTTTCTTTTTAATGTTTATTTGTTTTTGACACAGTGCAAGCAGGGGAGGGGCAGAGAGAGAGGGAGATACAG